TCCAAGTACTGAATGTTTATGGGTTTGCTTGGATTAAACAATAGGTGGAATACTTTGTACAAGATGCCTTCGACTAAATTTGACAACAGGCGTTTCTTTAATCTTACTCAGTAAATAGCTAGTCAAGGGTTGTTCCTGAATTAACAAAAAGGTATATTGTGTTATTGTTCTAATACATACGAGAGAAATTCGCCCATATTCACGGTCATAAATCGGAGGCTATGAAATCTACACGAAGTTGAAGCTATTGTTTGGAAATACAGTATTCAAGTGCATTTTGATTAAATAAATGTATGCTTGAATAATCATTTACAATTATTATTTGAGTTTACTCCGTGACTAATAAAATAACCCGACAAAAACACTTCAATGTTCTAAATCTGTTGTCCCTACGCTCTATAAAAGTACATTTAAACACGGTGACAAATTGATGGTGAGATACAAAGAGAACGAGTCGATTTAATGAGTCGATCTCATAGCTTAGTCAGCCTCCGTTTGCCTCCCCCTCGGCTAACGACCCGATCTGTCCCCAAGTTTCCGTGTCCCTAAGATTCCTTGTCCCCATCTTTCCGGACACTGTAGGGCCCTGCTAGCGAGTGCTACCTTACGGAGAGAGTTGAGTTCTGTTGACTACAATGATAGTGCTCGCTCGCCCTGAAGATGGCTGACTGTTATGTGGCCGAAACGTCGGTAGTTTCTGTACATAGTGTACATAACCAAAGGACGCGGTCGAACCCCGAAGACCAAGACTGTATATATATATAAGTGACGAACATGGAAGCCTATCCATGAAGATACCTTACGGACTATAATTGGATCATGTCATTATTACAGCCTTGAGCTTTGTTGTATTCATCTTTGCTTTAAAGCAAACAATAACTATGAGGAATAAAATTCATCAATGGCTCACTAGCTTTATTATCTTTATTTTTTATACAAAAATCACTAGTATTGTGCTTTGCTTTAGATTTAGACCCTATGTATGCAAAAACACTATCTTAACAAAACTCTTTATTCTTTATAATTATTTGGTTTAATAATTCAATAGATGCACAGTGAGGGCTAAGTGCGAGCTTTCCGGTAAAAACACATTTAAATATAGAATCACGTAAACTAATGCCTACATTAAGTATTGTTACTAGCCTAAATAACCAATTGTCAAAATCTATTTGTTTGTCAAAATAAATGTTGTTAATATTCAAATATAATATTTTCAAACCCTGCACCATATTAATGCTGATTAATAAAGGTTATAACAACGATGATCGAGAATGTAGCCAAAAGGTCGATAAAAATTAGTATGTTGAGCGCGACTATTATCCGAGAATACAGGTTTTTGTTTTAAGGATGATTATCATAACCCTATTGATATTCATGTAAAAATGTATATATTAGTATGTGAGGAATCCGATTTTGACATTTCCAAACTTCCGATAATGCACCGTTTAGGCTGTAGACAGAGAAATGTGGACAAACTAAACAATTTATTTAAACAAATCTTTTTGTGTTGAAATTTTAATATAATAGTCTCAAACCCTACACCATATTATGCTGATTCATAATGGTTATTACAACTATGATCAATAATGTAGTCATAAGGTCAATAAAAATAAGTATATTGAGCGCGACCATTTTTCAAATATACTGTTTTTATTGAGGAATTGATTCCCAAACCCCATTGATCCGTATGTCAAAATGTATGTTTTAGTATGTGAGGAATCTGATTTTGTCATTTTCAAACTTTCGAAAATGTACCGTTTAGGCTGTAGGCGGAAAAATACGGACAAACTAAACTATTTATGAACAAAACTTTTTTGTGTTGAAATTTAAAGACAACGGTCTCAAACCCTCCGCCAAACAATGCTGATTAATAATAGTTATTATAGTTAATTATAGTTAAGGAATTCATTCCCAAACCTCATTGATCCGGTAGACGGAAAAATGCGGACAAACTAAACTATTTATTAAAGGAAAATTTTTTTGTCTTGAAATTTAAAGACAATGGTCTCAAACTATACACCTAATAATGCTAATTCATAATGGTTATAATATCTATGATCGAATGAATGTAGCCATGTGCTTTGAAATGGCGACCATACAAATGTATGCATTTTAAGCCAAGTATGAATGGAGATGAGTGTGGGATGAGTGGAGCGATCTTGTTGTCCTGTTTGTGACTAAGGCCGACATAATCCTTAGACACAGCTGTTAATTAATAGTGCATACAGTCAATTAATAGCAGCAGAGGTCAAGTTTGGTATCCAATTAAAGGTTTTATTCATAAAAATACATTGCCGCAAACCCAAACTCAAACGATGATGATGATAATAACGTTAATGATGTCGCCAAAACGTATCGTTTGAAATTTAACAGCTGAAAATAAGTGAAATAGAAAAGGTTTTGGTTAAATCCATCAAATCGTAATTGGACACTAGTAAGTACTAGTGCACTTGTTGCTACCTCCCCCCTTCGGTTTCATGTATTCCTCTCAATCAGTTCAAACCTAGGAGGATTAAACATTAATGTTAATTAATGTTAAATCCTCCTAGATTCAAACCTGAAACACCCAGATCGAAACTCGCCTGTTGTTATTTTACCATCGCCTTTTTTAAATATATTTTTCAAGAAAGAAAGATTATATTCATTTACTTTGGATTTTTAAAATGTTAACGTTTTATTTTGTTAAAGATTTATGGTGATACGTAAATATTGTGGTGTAATAAAGTATATTATATTGTAGTTTAGTGTTAAATTTTGAAATTTTAGGGTGAATCGAGATGAATATTTTTTTATAACATGGGTCTCTCCTACCTTAACATACATACCAAGTTTCATAAATATCGGTTGGAAAAGTGCAAAGATAAATATTTGTATGTAAAAAATACAAAATGGTGGATATCTGGTTAACAAAACGATTTTGGAAAAAATGTTAGCCTTGATTTTCTGTTTATTTTGACCTAAGGTATTACTAGGTAAAGTATCTCCCCGCTTATTTTTAACACCATGTTTATGATGTATTCTTATAAGTGAAAAATGTAAGCTGGTAATACAGAAAGATGTTTTATAAATAATATGAATGTACTGGTGATCTGTATATTCATCTTTTTCTTGTCCTTAGAACTGTAAATTAAAAGTCCACTCAGCAGTCGCATCGTAGGATGTAGTTCTTTCCATGCGTTGCGAAATGCTAAATTTGCCGTCCTCTTCAACCCAAGTTATCTATTGAACCACTGATTGTAAAAAATCAAAAAAAAATATATTTTACGCATCACACTTTTGGCTACAACTTTGCCACAGACAAAACCTCTCTAACCCAAAAACAAACAAAAATCTCGCATGCTAACTTTTTCACGTTAGAAATCATGATTTACAACTATTTCACCATACATATCAATTTTTATTAATTAGATCAGTAAATAGTTTAAAGTTCCAACAAAATAGTCATCGAGTATGACTAACCAAGAAGCTCTGTGCCAATTTTCAAAATTTTAGCACAACTTTAAGTACACCAAAACACGAAATTATTGAAGTCATGAGGATACAGATCATACTTTTGACCTTCAGGCACTGTTGACTCAGCGAAACTGAACTTATATTTTATCTTATTTCGTTATATTAAAACTGCTGTTGCATTAGGTCAAATTCCCAATAAGTCAATTGCTTTAACATAGACTACGTTTTTAGCACGGACTGTATCATTTGACTTACTAGGATTTTTGATCTACAGACACTGCAAACATTGTAGTTTTTGACCTAGCGGCACAGGTATAAATTATTTGACCTTCCGGGACTGTTGACTTTCTGCAACGCGTCCATTGTAGAGTGTCTGTGTGTAATAAATGAAAATTATGAGAGAAAAATGAGTAAGTCATGTTAACAAGAAGAACCAGAAATAGAATCATGTTTATTTGTACAATATTATGAATTATTTAAAAATCCTCAGCGGTTGTAATTAATTGTGAACAGTCTAAAGAAAAATTTAAGGTAAAAGAACTGAACATACTCCCGGCCTTGAAGTGTCCTCACTTCAACAGTTAGTTTAGAACAAAACACATTAACAAAAGTTTGTTATAGACCAATTTCTGAAAGCAGCACTTTAATGTAGCTGGTGATGTGGATGAATAGTTCACTGATTTGGTCTTCATCTTCAGCTAAAGTTTCAATGTTCAAATCATCTTCAATTGACGGACTTACAATTTGATGAAAATAAGAATCAAAGTCTTCTTTCTTCTTATGGGCTTCTTGCATAAGAGTCTTTAAGGCTTCCTGTTGCACAACTGATAATGACTCTTCTTGTTCAACAAGTTGATCTACGATGTTTCTTATTTTCTTGAGACGAGTTTTAATAAAAGATGTGAGTCGAGTATTAGTTTCAATTTTAAAATCACTTTTTGGAGATGCCATTGTACAAATAAATATGAGGAGATAAATGTCAAAAAATTCACAAATTGTAAATGAGAGGGTTGACCAATAAGAGTTCCAATATGGAAATAAGAGTTCAGTTGGGTAAGAGTTCAGAGGCACAGAAAACAATGAGTAAAATGAGGAAATAGTAATATAAGAAGAGTTCTAGTGGATGGTGTAATTCCAAATCGCTTAAGTAATATCCGGCTCGAAGGACCATTAAATAATGTAGAGTGTTTGTGAGTAATAAATGAAAATTATGAGAGAAAAATGAGTAAGTCCTGTTAACAAGAAGAACCAGAAATTGAATCATGTTTATTTGTACAATATTATGAGTTATTTAAAAATCATCAGCTGTTGTAATTAATTGTAAACAGGCTAAATAAAAATTTAAGGTAAAAGAACTGAACACTCATATCCGTCACAATCTATTAGTTTATTGGAGAGGAGGCAGCCAGCCATGTTAGTAAAGAATCATTTGCATTGAAAGCGTTGTTCATTGAAAAATTATAAAAGATTGAAACTTCTGATTATATTTGATTAGAAAACATATTTATAATAGTATACATATAAAAATATTCTTTGTAACTTTGCAGCACTACACCTTCAGGGAAGTATTCAGCCAGGGTTAATGCAGGGGAAGCTGTATTTGACTTTTTGGAGAGATCATCAGGAGATTGGATTGGAAAGAACAAAATTCATCTCTCAGTTGGCCCTTACAGAGACAAAATATTATCATCACAGTGTAGAGTGATGATGGAAACTCTGATGGAAAAGGCTGCAGTCCTAAATGATGTAATAGAGAGGATTGGAAGCTATTTAATAGAACTTAATGGCCTACAAGATCCTTCAAATAATCATGAAGTCAGTCCGGTAAGTGTTACGAAACAAGTATATTACTCAGTCAGCCTACCTGTTGAGTTTTTATCCATTCACTGTGTTCAGAAAAGAAGCAATTGTTGATAAGCTCTGGAAGATTGTAAACGCTCTGTGTAAGCTCTTGAGACCTTGTAATTCTAATGTACAAAAATTAGCTGTTGACGCTTAATATAAAAACTTAACCCTTTCAGTGCTATGTGACAATATATCGTTGTGCGTCTTTTTCCCGACAAAAGGCTAAGGAACGATATTTCCTTGTTCGAGTTTTATCTAAAAAAAATTAATCGACGATATATCGTGCCGGCGCGACTTTCTTATATTGTTTCTTAGCACTTTTGAGATGCAAATTTTTATTTTTACCAATTTATTTTCTCGCCCACTAGACTTCTTGTCTGTGGCAATCCTAGCACTTCGGATGAAAGAAGTAAATATTTTTTTAACAAGCTGCCAGTCAATATGCGGGAGCTGAACTTAACAATTTAAAAAAAAAGTAATGAAGGACTGGTTACTGAGAAAATGTTTTTACTCCATAGAGAAGTATCTTAAGGACAGTATGGACTTTAGGGTGTGATACTGGCCGTCATCGTAGTTAGTAATGTAAATATTGGTTTTTATTACCTTTTGTAAACTCACCTCACAATATTCATTTTAGGCTAGGCCTATTCTATAAATATTTAAAGTTAATAAGTTAAAAAAGATATACGAATTACAAAAGGTATTTTATTGAAACAAATAAACAAACATGCAATGGAATTTAAAAGGCTAAGTTAAGTTACATTATAATGAATGGACTGACAATGGAGTGTGGGCTGAAATTAAAATAAAATAGAAGATAAGTTTTAAATAAAGGTTCAAATTTACAATAGGGCCTAGTATAAATTTAGATGTGCTATATCTCAGGGTAGGGTGTCGTGCTGGCTTGAATGCTAAGAATTAATAAATTAAATAGTGTCCAAATAATTAATGTTTTAAACTTACAAAATCCCAACAATGAAAATTAAATTTTAAAGGTTGTCCAAAAGGTAAGTCCAATTAGCTTAGCACTGAATTTAAAAGAGTTTAAAAGAAAAGTTTATACTTAATTTTTGAAAAATAATGTTGGAGTTAGTCCTCTTGAGGTTGACTGTAATATAACTTGAATTTAAACTGGTTTTTTCTTGATGATATTAATTAATTTTACTGAGATAAAATCTGGACTCCTTCTTTAAACAGTTTCAACTTTCAACTATGGCTTCCCTTCTCCTCTCCATCTCAATGTTAACATAGGTCTATTGTTGAACACATAGATCACTGCAGTGCTTACTTGAATTTTGATTCCTTAAAAACTAATTTTGAAATGATATTATAAGAAATTTTGATGTATTGCAGTTCTCTTACATATTTAATAAATAATTATAAATAAATTTGATGAATACTAGGTCAGCCTTTATCAGGAGTGATTAATAACAAAGGTTTATGAACAAAAGTTAACATATTTTAAGAAACTTAATACTAAATAATGAATGAATACAATGAAATATTACACTTTTAGTATATTCTATTTTAAATATGACGAGATCCGTCCAGATAACTGATTAATAATCACTGTCTTATAATGGTAACTAAAGCATTTTCGGAAAATTTCAAAAAAATTCTAGCATCGAATGGGTTAATTGAATAAGTTGTGAATATCCATTATCCAATAACATTAATGATTCAAGTAAAATTTATACTGGCTCTATGACTGTGTTGTATCTGCAGACAGAGATCGTATGCCTGGGCCGCATCTGTTGTGACTCTAACGACCGCCTCAACGCCAGCTCTGTACTGCTAGAGGGTAGCCAGAGCACCTGTCTAGGACATACAGTGGCACTGGACCTGTCCCAGGTATCCCACTACTCTCTGTTCCCTGGACAAATAGTGGCTGTGGTCGGGACCAATCCTACAGGGAAACGCCTTCATGTCACAAAGCTCTACCATCAAGCACTCCTGCCTTCCCCCACTTTTCTTCCCAGATTCTCTGGTAAGTTATGATTTTATTGTGACTGTTGTCAGTTTCTTTCCTTTCTTAAAAAACAAAATATGTTACAGTATTGTTATATAAATACAAAATCTTAATCTAAATACCGGTAATGAAAATCTTAGTAGCTAACTGTAAAAACATGCTTTCCATTGACCTAAGTGTAAACACAAGCAGACCATAAACAGTGATAATAAAACACAGAAAAAATTAAGCAAATAGCTCTTGTCCACACTCAAAGGCAACATTTTGTGCTGGCAGTCAAGACAAACACTTAGCTTGAAAAATTGAAAACTATAGCTCTAGAAAAATCAATACTTTTGGCTATGTCAGGGCAAATACTACCCTTCTACAAGTATTGGACTCAACATCCATTGATAAAGAGAGCCCCTTGATCATCTTGGGTGGAACTAATGATAGTCCAAACTGTGCATTGCCGAGTATCTGTCCTAGTATCTGGAGGACAAACTATCAGAAATTTGCAAAGTCAGACCAGTATTTCTATGTACAATACCAACTAACTAGAAACGACATGCCCCTGAGTCACCCTGCCAACAATAGATTTATTACTAATGAACAACTATTTTTCTGGAAATTGCATGCTAATAATCTATTCAAGTTTGACTTGGATGTTTTATAAGAGTTTTACTTCACAAGACTTGTATTGCATCTTAATTAAAGGTGGCAGTGATTTTTATTACTGATGCCATAACAGTCTGGCACCGCAACACAATGAAACACTTATCAACACAAATGCTAACAAAGAAAAATATAAATTAACCCTAGCACATCAGCAATGGTCCTTTCTAGTTTAAACAATACAATAGCTGCAGGAGATCCAGCTGTAAAAAATCTACTAGCTGTATTAAAGTACTAGAAGCTGACATGAAACAAGTAATCAAACTACATTTGAATAACAAAGCCATAGCATTTGCTCATTACCAGTGGCGTAGCCAAGGGGGGGGGGGTTTTGGGGGTCACAACCCCACCCCCTTGACAAAAGGATTTTGCCCATAAAAAATCATAAAAACTCCTAATACTGTATAAATGGACATATTGTGATGATTAATTTGCTTTTCACAATTAAAAGACAATAATTACAGTGGTATTGCGCAATGATAATAAGTTGTCATTAACTCTTGGTTCAGTAATAAAAACTGCAACGTTTAAAATCATAGCTAACTCAAAGTTTTACTCAAACAAAAGATTTTCCAAACACTGTACTGTACAGAAATGAATACTTTTAATACTTAAATACTTTTCAATGAAATGGCGACCATACAAAGTAGGTATTTTAAGCCAAGTATGAATGCAGATCACGTAAAGAACAGAAAAATAGATAGTCTAGTAAGGCTTACTGCGAGTCATAGGCTACTGCTACGTGCTGTTTTAGGACATAATAAGTGTGGTCTGTGACATAGTGCACAGCAGACAGACAGATGTGTAAGGAGCAGACGACTGTCAGTGCAAGCGCATAGTGTAATTGACCTTGAAGTTATCAGCCGATTCTTTGTTTTGTTATGCTTTCATTTTATTTTTGTCAAATAAAAATCAAATGTACTAGAGGGTATACATAGCAAATCAACTACTGTGCTTACATTGTTAGATCACATCTTACACTTGTTTTTTTATGGCGATTAGTTATTTTTTTAATGCCCCTAAACAAATCTTATTATTTCTTTTCTAAGGTTACGACTGTGGCCCTCAAACCCCTCCCCTCCGGATCAGCTATGAGCTATGTGAAACCCCCCCCCCCCCTTGACATAATCCTGGCTACGCTACTGCTCATTACATATCAGCAGACCTTGAGCACGAAAAAAATGATTTCAGGAGTGGCTGTGGTATTTAAGGAACTATTTGGTAAACCAACTGCTACGGACTATTGCATAACTTAAAAATGGGACTAATTGGACATAGTTGTTTCAACTCTCTTTTGCCTCATTTGATGGTTCTGATTGTCATGTCTGCAGGTGTAATGGAGGTAGTGATAGCAGCAGGACCATTCACTCAGTCAGACTCTGTACAGTATGAGCCGTTGCAGGACCTGATGACATATGTAAGCACTCACCGACCTCATGTGTTGATACTCATTGGCCCACTGGTAGATTTGCGACAAAGCCAGCTAATTGATGGTTCCATTGCTGAAAGCTACGATGCCTTTACTGACAAAATCATCAGTGGCTTGATGGATAAACTTAAAGGGTAGAATAACTATTTTCTATATTAGATTAAGTTTTTGAAGTAACTTTAAACATTTTTGGTTTGTTTGATCTAATTTTTTTTTCATACAGTAGTTGTTCGATGATCTAGCTTGAACTGGCGGCCAGTATGCTAGATTTTGGGAAAGCCTGTCTTATCGAGAGATAATTTAAATTATTGAATAAGAGAAGACCATAATTGGTTAGTCTAATTAGTAAATTTTAGAGAACTAAAGTTGATAGCTGAATGATCTGTAAGCTGAAAACTTGATAGCTGACCTTGACATTGTTTTCTGTTTTGTTGTGAGAGGTTCGCATGTGTGAGTTCAGTGTTTGGTCCCCTGATTTGGTGCTGCTTGCGAGTACTGTAAAGTAACAGAACAGCTCACGTTGCATGTGGCGTGTGAATAATTACTTTATCTACTGTACATAAACATTGTTGCACAGCATGGCTTCCATTTCCCAATAATGCGGCTAACTTTAAAATTTACTATGGAACATCTTATATTTGATGATTGTTTTAGAATGTAAAGACAATTCAAAATGTTTTTATTCTTGTGATTTGTTCTCCGAAGCTGCTCATTAAGGAGTTACAGTGTGTTGTTAACACTTTGGAAAAAGTGGCTTGCTGTGTACATTTCATATCCTCTTCTAATACAAGGCCACGGCCTACAAGAGAGCCCCAACTAAACCACAATCTGTGGTTGGTGTGTGACAACGTCACACCGGCCAGCTTATTTCCACGGCAATAACAAGTGTAAACATAAACATTACCCAGAAGCTCCATTATAAATTAGTGCATCAGCTGATTTGGTGAGCCTACTGTGCTGCTACTTTTGTCTCGCTGCAGCCTTACACTAGAGGAGGCTAAGACATTATGCATCCTGTAGTACTCTAATTTTTATTTGTTGTTTTTATTTATGATTTAATTGTTAATTGCTGCTTTTTTCAACTCTTTTAGTGAATTTCCCTATAGGGAAGTAGCTACCGTAGGTCTCATGGTAAGTCCTAGGCCCGGGACCGATTTACTTTTTCATTTTGATGTCCCCAGAGGCCAAAAACACTATTTGTTCAAATTTTTATATATGTATATATACAGGGTGAATCTTCTAAGCTGTCCTAAACAGATTACAGACGAATGGCTTGATATACAGAGATGAAACAAAACTTTTCCCCACTAATTCATACCCAAGGAACAACGTAAAAATATTTTTACCATTTTTAAAATACAGGGTGTTCAAGAAACTGGGGGTCATGGGTTCGAATCTCAGAGTTTTCAAATGTAAACATATGTCATGTTATGCATCATTTTAAAGCTCTAGACTAGACAAACAATTTAGTGAAAACAGAGCTCATTTATTTTTTTCCGTTTCAAAATGGCGGCCATTTTTATAGAAACTATTGATACTTACAGAATATCCTGTATCTTGACAACCACTAAACTTATTTTCGTTCTGTTTGAAAATTCTTAATCCTCGTAGGTTCAGCTTTAATTTGATGTACGACAAGTCAACATTTTAAAAACTAAATATTTTTTCTATAATTTCAATTTTTTTTAAAGTTGGTAGCCTTGTAAATGAAAATTTTTAAATGGCAACATATGTAAAATTCTGTATCATTTTTAAGGTCTTGTAAAAACAAACAACTTTTAAATTTAAACCTACCGCCTATCTTTGGTCGTTTTCTATTAATTAACCCAAAACTCCAATTGCCCATATAAAACTCATGTTAAACGCACAGTATCATGGGAATAGTGCTTCTGCATCCACTAATCTTCAGTACTGCACGTTTAACATGGGTTTTATATGGGCAATTGGAGTTTTTGGTTGATTACTAGAAAACGACCAAAGATAGACGGTAGGTTTAAATTTAAAAGTTGTTTCTTTTTACAAGACCTTGAAAATGATACAGAATTTTACATATGTTGCCATTTAAAAATTTTCATTTACAAGGCTACCAACTTTAAAAAAATTGAAATCATAGAAAAAATATTTAGTTTTTAAAATGTTGACTTGTCGTATATCAAATTAAAGCTGAACCTACGAGGATTAAGAATTTTTAAACAGAACAAAAATAACTTTAGTAGTTGTCAAGATACAGTGTATTCTGTAAGTATCATGTAGATAGCATGTGGGCTAGACTCTGACTGAGTAAGCTGGTGTTGATGTGCTCTTCAGTTTTTGTGAAGTTTTAGTGGGTTTTTTAAAACTGTAAAAGTAGTGTTTCATACCAAATTATAGTGTTTTCTACTGTGCTTAAATGTATGCAAGTCACTTGAAAAGTTTTGATTCACACATTAAAACATAAAGGTTTTTAGCAAAAGTATTTCCTGGAATTACAGGTATTTTTAGTAGTGACACAGATAAGGAGGGATCAGAGATAAGCAGGTTTGACCTCTGGACTGTAGATAACAAATTGGGATTTGCTCAACGATATCACTGATAGTGGCACTGTTGTTTACAAACAAACTTCACATTAATTAAGTTGACTAAATAGCCATTAGGGACTGTTTATTTTGGCAAATGCTTACAATTATATTCAGTATTTACAATACAAGCATTTATTTAAGATGAACTCAGTAGATTTTGTATGAGTGCTGGTAAACACTTGTTTTGAAAATTTATTACAAAAAGGACTCTTTAATTTGTGAATTTATTATTGCATGTAATTTATTATTACATTATTAAATATAAATTACTCTACCCAAATATGGCCAGATATCCCTGTGGGGTGTGTGAGAAAAATGCCGGCACGTCTGCTATTTATTGTACAGGTTCATGTTGCAAATGGCATCATTTTAAATGTGTGCAGCTGAGCCCCTCTGATATTAAAAACATGAAGGAGGGGGATTTGGTGAGGAACTGGAAATGTTCCAAATGTTCTCTCAACATTGAGGTTAATGAAAATGTGGTATTAAATGAAGGAATTGTTGTTAATGTTAAGACAAGTCACAAGGAAGAGCAGTTTAATCACTCAACACTATTTGAAGAGTTAAATAAATCAATTCTCAATGAAAATGAAGAATTAAAAAATGAGCTTCATTTGGCAAAGAACAATAGCTCTTTCTATGTATTGGAACTGGAAGATAAGTTAAAGGAATATGAAGAAAAGTTTGAATCTCGGGAAAAACTGTTTTATGAGAATGAAAAGGATATGCAGAAGAAGATCGAGTATTTAGAGCGGCAGTTGAAACAGCAAAAAGAAGCCAGGGAGAGTATTATAGTACAGGTTGAGGAGGAGTCAAGACAATCTTTTACACATAATCATATACAAAATAAGAATTGTGATAGCTGTGTTATTTATAAAGAAGAATCTAGAAAAATGTTGGACACTATACGTAGCTTAGAGAATATAGCAAAACTACTGGAAAAGGAGTGTTTAGAAAAACAAAAACAAATAAATACATTAGGAACAGCAAAACCCGTATGTTTAAAATGCTTTCCCCCACTCAAGAACACTAATGATAATGGTAAACTTCAAACCCTCCCCGCACCTGATAAATGGCATGAGGTGACTGCAACCTCGCATCGTAATAAAATAAATACCAAAGGGAGTGACATGACAACTAGCTTTGTTACAAAGAATCAGTTTCAGGTGCTACAAGATGTTTTGGAGGATGTCGACTCGGATGTAATTGTCTCTGTTTGTGGTTCAAATGACAAAGAAGAAGAAAAAGAAGAAAGCACTACAACCCAGCCAATAATCAAAAAGAAGAGAAAAATACTTATTTGTGCCGACAGTCATGGAAAAGATTTGGCTTGGTTTGTGAACAAAGCTCAGCAAACTCATGAAGCAGTAGGTTTCATAAGGCCTGGTGGACTTACAGAACAGATAATTAATGAAAGAAACAGAAGAAAACCTGAAGAAAGAGGATGTTCTTGTAATTGTTTGTGGAAGTAATGATGTGGCTAAGAATGAATCTGACAAGGTTTTTGCAACTTTAACAAATATCCTGCCTAAAGTAAAAAGTACAAATGTTATGTTAGTAGATTTACCAATGAGACACGATTTAACAAATTGGTCATGTGTAAATAATGAAGTTAGAAGAACTAATAAGCGCCTTGAAGAACTAAGTGAGAACTATCATAATGTGACGGTGGTTAAGGCAAGTGGAGCACTGAGACATTTGCATACACAACATGGGCAGCACCTCAATCAGCACGGCAAGATATGGTTAGCTAATCTCATAACCAAGGAAATTGCATCAACATCATCTGTTGCAAGAAGATGTCTGCGGGGCGTTGAAGATCAGCCGACTCCTCCGGGAACTGAGTCGCTGTTGGAAAACTACACCCCTCCAGGACAACCCAGTTTTGTGCATCGTCATCAACAACCACTAATGGACCCATAGCTGTAAGTACTTTAAGTAGATCACCAATTGTACACAGGTTAGATAATGTTAGTTTCTACAGCTTGTCAGAAAAAAACGATGCAAATATCTATGAAAATAATAGTAGGCCTATTCAAAATAATAAAAAAAACAGTGATAAGTTAAATTTAACAATCTTTCACCAGAACTGTCAAAGCCTAACTAATAAAATTGGAATTCTGGAAAACATTTCATGTGAATTTGATTTAGATGTTTTGTGTGTAACGGAGCACTGGATGGTAAGCAATGAAATCAGTAAATATTCTATCAATGAGCTAAAACCAATTGCAAATTATTGTCGTACTACCATGATTCATGGGGGATCAGCAATTTTCACTAGGATTGATCCATCGTTTATTAAAGTAATGGATGACATTAACAGACTTTCTGTTGAATTGGATTGTGAAATTGCATGCATTGAAATATTAAATTTTAAGTTAGTGATAGTTACCATTTATCGCAGTCCTGATGGAAATGTTGAAATTTTTTTTAATGTCATAGAAAAATTGCTAAGTCACATTAGTTGGTTAAATAAGCAGTCAGTTATATGTGATGACTTCAACATGGATTTTCTTAGTATTGAAAAAGTTCCTGTGAACCTTGTAAATCTCTTTAATATGTATGGTTTACAGATG